CATCTTCCACCGCAAGTCTCTAAACTTCTTCATCCGATCCGGCCTGTTCGATTTCTCCCTTCTTTGTTCCAGGTATGACTAATCCCTTTTCTCTCTCCTTTCTAATTCTCGCCTCCCTAATTCTCTCTTGTGTATCCTTCTCGGTTTCTCCTTTTTAGTTTCTTTTTTGTATTTTCTGAAGAATCTGATTAATTTTATAGATTATAGGATTTTATGTTTTTTGTATAATTCCTCATTGTAAAATGTTGTATTTTTTGTATAGGAATTGTGGTGGTGTTTAATTTGCTGCAAATTTGCAATTGCTATTGTTGCTTCTTCTGAATCATTTTTAGATCAGTTTTGGTTCTTCATTTTTGTTTTCACTCTATTTTTCTCAAGCTTAAAGGTTGTGAATCATTTTCACTCATTTGGATATTTATGTATAGCAACATGGATAAAGGACACCATACAATTGAGAAATTTTCTCCAATACATTATTTTTGTCAACCATGAAAATCAAACTAGGAAGAATCAAAGTCGACAAAGGGGTATTCATTTTTTAGATATTCATTTTTTTTGGAAAATGGTCCAAACAGAAGTAGACAGTTTTCATAATTTAAGCCAAACAACAAAAAAGGAAAATGACTCCAGGGAAATAACTCATTTTCCGGAAGTCATTTTCCACAGGTTATTTTCTTGGTTTCCAAACGGATCCTAAGTTAAACAAGTATTCCAGCCGAGTATATTCTAAGGGTTGAAATAAACATTTATAAAATAATAAAAAAAACTTGTGATAAATAAATTTCAAATCGAAAAACTTCGTATACCCACGAACACCCCCCACACTCTCGCTGCGGAAAAAAGCAGATATCCGAAAACACTTTCTGCTTCTGAGTTCTTAGCTCCCGCACATTCTGATAATCACCTTCAAAGGCAATTCAGACGGACGGGTTCTGGTCTCGAATTGTATTTGGACGTGATTTGGGTGCACATCTGATCAAGTTCAATGTAAAGGAACGAATATGGAATCTTATGTGCGTCGTTTTGCTTTACTTGTCATCCTTGATTAGGTAAGTGTCATTGTTTAATTTTTATGAGTTTCCCTGTTATTTGGGTGGAATATGGAGAAGGAGTTGACAGTGTAGATCGTTAAAGTGAGTGGTGTGGTGCTTGAGATTGCGTGCAGTGACTGTTTTGGGCGATTTTGTTAGAGAAGGGGAGGAGCGAGTTGCGATGGTGCTGTGGCTGAAATTGCTTATTTGTGTGATCTTTTTATGTTGTCGACCTATCATCTTTGCTTTTTTGGGAACTTGTGACTTGCTTTTAGATTGTAATGGCCATTGTTTTAGTGAATCTTGGGAATGAAATGAAGGGTTTCATGTGAATTCAATTGCCTATTGATCAGGAATTAGGATAGAGGGGACCAAGCCAATTTAATTTTCGGTTCATTCCGTATACATGTGCGCGCTAATTGGGTGGGTTATGTATTGTTCGCGATTGATTTGGCATCAAGTATTGTTGTTCAAATCTGTTAATACACTGCTTAGGTGAATCTTGGGAATAAAATGAAGGGTTTAATGTGAATCCAATTGCCTATTGCTTTTAGATTGTAATGGCCATTGTGGGCTAATTGGGTGGGTTGTGTAGTGTTTGCGATTGATTTGGCATCATGTATTGTAGTTGAAATCTGTTCATACATTGTTTCATACATGGTTTGGTAGTTTTCATAGTTTCCAACTTTTTGAGTCCCCATGTCAAGTACCTTTTCTCAAACAAGATTTATTGAATATTAGTTTGCATAGATTTTATGATATGTCCTCCAGGGAAACTACCATATTTTGTTCCTTCTACATGGCCATCGTGACAATCGTATTGCTACTTACTAGTACTTCAGGGGACAGCTTCTTGTTCCACATCATTTTTCTTTCTTTGAAAAGATGTGGTCTCAAATCTTCGTTGCTTAAAGTATTGAACAAGACACAATACTTTCCCACTAGTAGACCATTGCTTCTGCCACACATACTCCTACACATTATTCTTTCCCACTTTATGTGGTAGTGGTTTAAGATGGTAACATTCACCTACTTTGTTGTCTTCATACACATTAGTCTTGCCTTTATGTGTCATGTCTCGATCATATTGTCATGGTCTTCCCAATAGTATATGACAAACATTCATTGTAATCAACTCACACCATTCTTTATCTTCATGTGGCCCAATATTGAATGAAAGCAAAATTTGCTTTTTTACACCAACAAAACTCTTGTCATTCAAGCAATTTAATTTGTGAGGTGTAGGATGTTCAAGTATTTCCAACTTTAGATTGTGTGCCAACTTGTTAGATACCGCATTGGTGCAACTGTGCAAGATCAGGTATCTGTGATAAGATTTGGAAGGTCTAGGCATCACCATTTGAAAATTC